TTATTTTAAATAGAAAAAAAAGAACATTTACAACGCAAAATTTCTAAGATCCAATCTATTTTAACAGATATGTTTGTAAAAATAAAGGCTTGCATATAACTTTAAGAACAATATTAAACTGCCAAAGTGAATTTTGGAAATTATATTAATGGATATCACAAGAAGACTTTAGCATTAACACAGCCAAGTTTCTTATTCTTTTTTTTTAACCATTAAAATAAATTTTACCACAATTAATCTTGGGCCTGGCCTCTGGATGGTCTTATAATTAAGGCAAATAAGTAAACATACAAATGCTATCATTTGAGCTTTTCCTTTCTAGAAATACCTCTTATCGAAAATATATGAGGTCATACTTTCCACCTGTCTGACCTACATTTCACATATAAAGTCACTGTTTTAGTTTGCCAAGAATGATGAGGACATCAAAACTATGGAAATTACAAAATCATAAATGCAACCAGGTAGGCAAAAAATGATGTAGGAATTAGTTCCATCCTATTAAGGCATTAGCACATTTGTGTGGATTCTAAAGACATCAGCTAGTAGGGTCCTGATGGGAAGGCTTTTGGATGAAAATAGCAGAAGAGAAAAAGAGCAAGGGATTATGGCACATTGCCCAGGCATGTCTGGGATTCCATGGAGCACTGTGTAGGGGTAATGAAAGAGGGTAGGAGCTGGCTATTTTGGGTGAGGGTAATTTGCCAAAGGGAAAAGGATATTAAAAGTGGCTTAGGAGGGCATTGAGAGAAAGAAGCATATTTGGTGGCTTTGTGTCAGTGTTTCCTGTCTTTCTCTCAATACTATATCCATTCCAGCTTGTTCAATAAAAATTAATGAATTCATTTGTGCAGAACTTCTCTATACTATAAAGATCTTCCTCTCTGAATATTATTAATAAAAGGAAATTAGGTTGGCTAAAGTAATAACTTTGGCTATTATTTTTTTAAAGTCTGAAACAACACTTAAAATAACTGATAGTATGTGTTGTTTTTTACTTACTTTATAAACAGTTCCAAAAGCACCCGAGCCAAGGACTTTTACCCTCTTGAGTTCAGTTTCTTTCAAAATGCGAAGTTGAGCTTGATTGGGTGCTGTGCCGCTGGGAGTTAAGGGTTCTACCAACTGCAAAGTAAAAAGGATAAGGTTACACAACTTTCAGTCCAACAGTCAGTCCTTCTCTCTCTGGTTCTCTTTCTCATACGTGCAAAAAAACACACGAACACACTTTTCTTTGACAAACAATACTTTTGTAATATGCGCCACTCACCATCCCCAGACACACATTTTTGTATTCCTTTAGACTCTATCCTTTCTCTTCTCCTGCTCTTTGCCAGGGCAAACAGGAGTAACAAATGTGTGTGCCTACCTCGATGTATCCTAAGATAGGAGATTTGATACATTAGGAAAAAAAGGAAATGCTGTCTTCTTAGAGCTTAAAAATCTATCTGGGAAGCCAGGACAAACACATCAGAAGAGAGGGAAAAAAGTTCGCACAACGCCGATATCCTAGGACCATGTTGCTAAAATTTTTCTGTACATATGAGTTACCTGAAGTTCTTGTTAAACGCCAAGTCCTGATTCAGTAGGTCTGGAGTAGACTTGAAATTTTGCCTACTTGAAATTCATAGAACGACAGGTGATGTCTACGTACTATGGTGGTCCTTAAACACATTTTAAGTAACAAGGCCCAAGTGTACCTGTTAGATTAAAAGTTCTAAAAGTCTATGATTTGATGCTAGATCATAAATGAATGCTATTAAATGCAAGGAATAAAAGATCCACTGGGAAATGAGACCCACTGGTTTTGGTTTCCCAGGGGAGGGGCACACCTAAAGATCAGTCCTGAGATAATGAAAATGGGTGGACCTTGGGTGGGCAGTTTGGGCACCGCAGAGGGGAGATGGAAGAAGACACATACAGGGTAACAGGGCAGGGAGCAGGACAGGTCTGCAGGATGAGTTTAGGGTGGGGAACACCAGGTCATGAGATGGGCTGGGTGTGGCCAAAGAAGTAAAATTCGGCTGATAGTTTTCGATGTCATAGTTGAAATATGATTCAGCTAGAGAGGATGAATGAGGTAGGGGAAAGTATTTGAATATGTGTCAATCATTTTCATATGTGTGAAAAAAATGTATGCATAAGAGAGACTCTGGGCAACGGAAAGCCTCTATCCTGGGTTAAAATTTTAGATATTAATTTATATGTGAGAAAAAAGGCAAGTGAGAGAAATAAGGTTTTTTTTTTTCTTTTTTTTAAGTTAAATAAAGGAACTAAACTTTACACATAGACAAATATCCTATGTTTTGTTTTTGTTTTTGTTTTTTTTCAGCATAAAGAAATAATTAAAGGCTACTCCTACTCAAATTGTCTTGAAGCCACCACAGCATTGGAAGACACCTTTTTACAAAACAAAGTGCACTGTGGCTCACCAGGCTGGGTGTTATTGTCATGTGTCTGTGAACATCACAGCCCTCTCAGAGGAACAGTCTTAACTGAAGGTAAGTGTAGCTCTAGTGACAACTTTAGGAAGAACATGATAAAAACGACAACAAACTTAGGCTATTTGCTAACAGTTTAACAACTTACTGCTTCTAATTTCATTTTCAAATTTATATTGTAAAAAATGATAAATTCAAGTCACATTAAAAAAAACTCAGAACGAATCACTAAATTATTTGTTAAATCTAAAAACGAATCTCTAGCAGAGACCTATTCATTTGAAGTAAACTCTACTGCACAGGAGTTTTTGGTAGATTTTGATACACACACTGTGTGTATAATGAGTAACTTTTATGAAACATTTTTAAATTTCACATACAAAAGTCATATAAAATCACAAGCAAAATTGGGGAGGGGGCTTCAGCACTTTGGGCTACATATACTTATAATATATATATTATATTTATATATATTGATATATATATACATATATATGTACATCTTGGCATTTACCAGGTAGTAATTTCAGATTTTGAAAACTTCTGAGATTTTTAGTTTCCTGTAATTTTCTCAGGTATCATTTAAAACATTTCTACAAACACATTTTTCAAGGAATTTTAATATTATACCCTTAAAAGAAGCATAGTATCATTTTGCCAGCCAGCAGTGATACGGTGGAAAGAGGATTGAGTTTAAACGTGGAGGTTTGTATGCCAGGGCTGCCACTCACGGGCTTAGAAAGCACCTTTCCCCCTGGCCCCTTATTTCTCATCTGTGAAATAGGTATAACAATAATTACCTTAGATTATTGTTAAATGAGGAAATAAGATGACATTGGTGGAAAAGTCTGGAATGCTGCCTGGCATATTGCAGGCTTCAAATTTGTCACCCTCCAGGGATAGGATAATGTCTCATCAATACATTTTTGTATCATTGCATCTACCAAAGCATCAAGCTTACAGTGAATCAGTGCATCTCAGTCAGTGTGTGTTGGAAAATTTAACATAAGAAAGATAATCTGGAGCAGAATGATTTGGGGAAAGTATATCAACTCTAAATGCATCCCAACATTATATCAAGATTCAATAAGTTTTTCACCTCTGAGGCAAATTTCTAGCAGTATTTAAGGATTTAAATTGATCCTCTTAAGAGTTCCTTTTCTATTTAGATGGTGGTATAAAATCATATTTATTTTTATGGAGAGAAATGGCTTTCTACGATTATCTAACATCCAAATGTAAAATAATTTACTCCTAAGCGATAATTTTCTACAAAAATAGAAGCTGCTTTATAAAACCAATTAGTATGTTATTTATTTAGTAAAGAAATGACAATTTGAAGGAAATTCTTATAAAGCACCAAATTAAAAAAACAAACTAAAACAAAGGAACACAACTCTTTTCGTAGCAATGAGCCTTCCCTGTATGTGGTTAAAAGACGGAATTTCTCTTCCATTTATTTAATCACCCTATGTCCACTGTTGTTCCAAGCCTTCAATTCCTCTCCGGCTCTAGTTTACAATAATTCACTTTTCAGAATTCTGTCACTGACAGCCCCGAGCTGGCCATGAGGAAGAATTCTACCTGCCTCCAGTATCCTAGTTAAGTTAAGCACAGTGCATGTGTTGTGCCCAAACTTTCATTCTCATGTTCAAGGTTGAAAGTGATCAAATTAATCTTCTACAGGCATCCAGCTAAAGTAGGAATTATTACTAGGTTTTCCCATGTGTAATTGACTACCTTTTTTTGCTTCAACATGTCTGTTGATGAGACAGCTCATTCTAATTTCAGATAACTCCAATCCCTAGAAAGTATTTTCCCATAAGTAGCTATAGAGTAGTTTCCTGAAACCTTTACATGATGCGTCTATCTAGTTTTAACCTCTGGAGGGAAAAAGCTAGAATTTATTTCATTATCAGTGTACAAAATTCATGAGTGAATGAATATTCCCATTCCTGTTAGTGTTCAGAGAGAAAGTCAGATTGTCACACTGACAATGAGAAAGAAAACAAACCTAGGGTAAGACTTAGTCTCAGAAAAGAATTGATCTGAATTGCTCAAGTAGGCAAGAATGTTTGTATCAGGAGAGAGGCAGAAGTTAAGAAGGGTCTAGAAATGCATAGTATTCTGTAAGTGTTTTTCCCCTGTACAATGAAAACTATCAGCTTTCATGCTAGAGAATTCAGTGTAGCAATATAAAAGAAATTATAATCATTTATGAGTAATTAACATATTCACAATAACCACCACGCATAATATTAAATGCATCTCGTGAATTGTGTTGTAAGGTCTGTGTGATTACACTAAGCTTTATCCTATAAGCTTGGTCTTTCACTGCTGGTATAATGAGATCACTGGCTACCCATTTAATGATCCTAGTTAAAGCATACATTACTTGTCTATCTGATTATATTTTGAACCAGGAAAATTCTTTCTCTTTCTAATGTTTTCCTAGTTCTGTAACTGAGATATCTTCTACCCAGATATTTTCTAGTTCTGCCGCTTTGAGATACCATCCTTCCAGAGCTTGCTAATGGGAACGCCCCTACACACATACAAAAAAGAAGATCTGTTTTTCTTCTAGGACAATAATTTTCTTGACCCCTGCCATCTATCTTCTTGAAGCCATGAAACTGTCTTGACTGCTTTTACTATATAATACGATTTTTCATCAGCTTGGTCTAATGTACTACAAATAAAACCTTCATTGGGAAATTGAACAGATTTTACTTGGATTAAAAAACTGAATATCATCTAAACCTAAACCTAATGAAAATCTCTAAACCCATGAAAAGCAAAAATAAACACCTCACCTCTGTTTCCAAGAATCTTCTCAAGGCTCTTTTCTTTTTGATGCTCTTTCTTCTAACATAAACTGCAAATGTCAGACCCACAATGACCAGGATGAAGAGCCCACCAATGACTCCAGCGGCAATCAGTGGAGTTCTGCCAACCAGAATGAAAGAAAAAAGTATGAAGAGAGAGAAGACACAGAAAGTAGAAAGAGCAGCTGTACAAGACATTATCCACATTTTACAAATCTAGTCATTTAGATGAAATGCAAATAAAATGGCACTGGGGCCCTACCAAAACCTTTCTCACAGTAAAAACTGTAGGTTTTGTGTTGTTCTTTTCTTTTGTTTTTTTTGAAATAATAAACCATGCACATTCAACTAGTCTTTGAGGATGAGCAGCCACAACATGCCATTTGATGAAAAAATGTAAAGCTCAGTAACAGAATGAAGAACATATGCCAAAATGTTGGTATGGAAACATTTAAAATTTTTAAAATTTTACTATCATCTATGAATAAATGGAAAATACATTTTAATAACATTGTCGTGGTATATCATTTTATTTTCAGTGTTTTCTCTAAAGTGGACTTTCACAACAGTGGCACTATTGACATTTTGGGCTAGATACTAGTTTGTTGTGGAGGAGCGTCCTGTGCATTTTAGGGTATATAGCAGCACCCCCACCCTCCAGTCATGGCGATGTCTTCAGACATTGCCAAAGGTCTGTCGACATCACCCCCAGTTAAGAACCACTGCTCCAAAGTAAAAATGGGTGGTCTGGACACATATGAACCCCACACTTCTAGAGTAGAGGGTAACAATGAGAGAGTGGTTATTGCCAAAAGTGCTATTTCAAACTCTGATAAGAGCAACTCTGGTAGAATAAAGGGCAGGAGAAAGATAAAGAATTGGGTCAGACAGGTTTAAGTGTTCAGAGAGATGATGACAAGAGTATTATAATCAAAAGTGTGTTCTAAGCATCACATTCTCATAAAAGAGGTCTGCACATTAAGCATTACATAAAAAGATGTAAACAGTACCAAAAAGAAATTAGCAAGAGATTGATTGGAGATTTTTATTATAAAAAGGCTTTTTTATTTTTAGCAATGTTATAATTTTGAAACTTATCACTTCTTATTGTTTTCTAATATAAATATTTCCTTGCTTGATCAGTCATATTTGTGGTTTTAATTTCTTGTTCTAGAGTAGAGCAATATCTATAAGGTTTCAGTGGTGAGAGTCCTGAAATATATTAATTTCATTTTCCATAGCAAATAACCTGGAAGCACACAAGTGTTACCTAATATTTGACATGAAGCCATGATGGATACCAAAATTAAAAAAGAATTCCCTGTATGATCATGCTGCCCATAAAGAAGCATTTTATATCGTATAGTTCTATTTTTAGAAAAATCTATTCTATACATTCTTATGGAAAACATTATTTTCTTTTGCAAAATAAACTTTTGTTCAAAGATAGGTCAGAAATAACGATAGTGGATGATCATAAATAAAATCTTGAAATGTTAAAGAGCTCTTGAAAAAAAATCTGTGTAATTTCTACTATAAATGAAGTCATGTCTTTTAAAGATTATGACTGCTATACTGTCATATAAAACTGCAGAAAAACCTAAAAAGGTAGTTCATCCTAAAGGTTGTTTCCTGACAGCTCAAAGTACTCTAGCATACTGAAATGTTGCTATAATTCAACTAGATTTTTCTAAATGGGATTTTCTAAGGATATAAAAGTCTATGCTGAGAAAATTAAACTATAGTATGTACACAAACTCATCATTGTGATATGTTTTCATTTGTGTAAGATCATATTTTTGAGCATTCCAGTTAAATATGTATTTCAGAAAATATTTTAGGTTTTCAGTCCAACACATAATTTTTAGCTGAAATGCCTAATATATCCCTGAAAAATCACTAGTGTAGAAAGGATTGTATATTTGTTTCCTCAGCCCAATATTTTATTACAAAGAATGTATGTGTAATTGAGAGTAGTGTCCGATATTTTGTTAACTGTACATTTAGACCAAACTCTAAACTGTCTCTGTTTATTTATTTTTCAAAAGAATAGATGATATATATCTATGAAAATATGTCAATGTAAATTAACAGAAATGGTCTATTTTAGTTTTTGTTTGTTTGTTTGTTTGTTTTTAAGAACAAACTTCCCATAGAATAAAACAAGACCTCTTTTCATCTTATTTCAGTGGAGATCAATTGCCACATCATTACTATGCATACTTCAGCTGGCTTTAGTAATCAAAATATAATATTCAAAAACTCACTAGTCAGTAATTGCTGTTTTACTGGCTAGCATTTACTTTAAATATTTTCCCAGAGCAATTCCTTTGGTTAATTTGGATTACTTTATTTTTTCTTCTTTTACCAACTCTGCAGGAATGTTTAGAGGTACAAATAACCAGAAAAAAATAAAGAACTACAATTTCTGCACCTAGAAACCATACATTATCCCTGGTGGTCGAGTGGTTAAAAAAAAACAAAATAAATAAATAAATAAATCATACATTACTGTTTTGCTAGACATTTTTAGAGGCCAAACTCTTCATATTCTCACAGAAGGTACTTTTGAAAAAGAAATCATTAACCACAAAGAAGCAACCAGTGAAATCGAGAAGGAGAAATATTCTATTAGACAACTTGCAGGTTCTCTTTAATAAAAGAATGTCATGAATAAAGGTACTGGTGTAGACTAAGAAGACTTAATAGACATAACGACTGGATGTGAAATGCAACCCCGAACTGGATCCTGGTTTGGACAAACCAGATACAGAGTCTTTTTTTGGGATAACTTGAGAAGTCTAAATATGAATTACGTAGTAGATGAGATTTGCTGCCACAGGAAGACATGGACCATAAACTGAAAAGACTGGGTTACAAAAGAGTAGGATCACAATAAGGGAAAATGTATTCATATATATCTATAGATACATAGATCCGGAATAAGACACAAAATAGTAGTTGTCTGAGTGATATGAACGTAGTGCTCTTATTTTTTATTTTTACTAATGTGCATTTTCTTATTTTTATATTGTATTTATATTTCTTTTGAAATAAAAGTTTGTTAAATTTAAGAAAAAATATAGAAAAAAATCATCGTCTAAAAGTTTACTTTTGTTAATGGTCTTGTTTTCTTTTTTCTTGAATGTTTCTTTTGCATTTTTTCAATTAAGATTTCATTTTCTTATTCCCCGTCCACTTTTGCAATCTAAGTGCTTCTGCATATATTTTCTATTCATTATAATTTAACGTGTCTGAGACATTTAATTACCATCATGTTTCTTATAATATTACATTCCATAAAACAAATGTAATCTGAAAAGTTAATACTATTTACACATTTCCTACTCCTCCCAATGTTGATAATTCCCAGATATTTGTAGGTGTAGGATAGGTGTCTATTTTTTTTTTTTCCTGAGAGTTAATGCTTAACTCTTTATGAGGACCCTTTGGATGAAGAGGATATGGCTATGTAAGTTGCTTCTTTAATTTGCTGTGTCTCTCTCCTAGGTCTAATGTTGGCTATTGCCAACTGAGCTGTTTCTGAGAGTGTTTTCCTCTTGCTTGTGAATCAGAGGAACCTCTAAGAAGCTCAGATATGACACTATTGAGATCAAAAGAGTCAAACACTATGAGACCAGAAATACTCTGTAATTCCCTCATCTGTAATAGGACTAGTGTTTGTTTGTTGGTTTGTCTTTCTGGCTGTCATTAAAAATTATTCAGGTCCCCTAAATATAAATTTCAAGTGCAAGTCCAAGCTTAAACTGAAAGGATGTGATCAATTGATAGTTTACCTTATTCTGTGATTTGGAAATAGTATAATGAAATGGATATTCTCCCTCTCCCTACTCAAGAAACTGATATAATAGAAATTCTGAATCACGAATGAAATTTGCTAATTTATTTAAAAGCATACGATTTGATTTTCATAATTTTATTTAGAAGTTCAGAGACAACACAATGTATTATATTTTATTGTCTTGAATACAATTAGCTTATAAAAGAGCAGTGTCTTCCAAAATTATATTGCTCATATAAAAAGATACATCCTTATCACCCATTGCTATATTTGAACCCTGCTATTCTTCTCACTGGAGAATATAATATGTGAAAGGATACATGGAACCTTATTTTTTTAAGCATCCAAATATTTTCCTTCATTGATCTGCTTCCTTTCTGATATCAGATCACAAAAAAATGTTGTAAAGTTAATATAATTTATGATAAAACTCAAATGTTTCTAAGAATTATTTTTTATACTCTTTCCATTTAATGTTAAGGGCTGGCTATCCTTTTAAAAGGAACAAAGGTATTTTCTTTAAAATCGGTAAAATAGTCTTTTGACCAATATAGTCATTGCAAAGAATGCTAATTCTATGAGGTATTTTTATACATAACACTAGTTCATCGCAAAATAAAAGGTTTATTAAGTTTATAATATACTTTTACTTTTCTTCATTTTTTTCGAATACAAAATAATTTTAAATTAAAGATAAAAGAAACAACTTGTAGTCCTATAATACATTAATGGTATAATTTGCAATTGATAGTATTGACTTTAAATCAAAGAGCTTCACTTTTATAATCTCATAAATTAAACCAAGTAATTTGAAGTCAAGTCTTCAGGATTTGTTGGATCAGACATAGAGCTGCTTTAATGCTTATTTATAAGCACTAAAGGTAAAACCGAAATTTTTCGTGTGTGTGTGTGTGTGTGTGTGTGTGTGTGTGTTTTAATGTTCACGGGAGGTAAAAACAAACAAAAACAACAGGCTAGTGAGATGAATATAACAGGGCTTTTTTGGTATAACAAACTTTGCAAGTCTCAAAAAATGGTGAAATAGTGTCCCTAACATTATAGTGGTATATTATGGCAGAAAGACACTTTGGAGTTAGACCAATCTAAGTTTTAATTACTTGTCTGCCTCTAACTAGTTGTAAGTTTTGTGCACCTACCAAATAACTCAGCTAAAATACACATAAATACATTCTTCACCTAAGCTCATAAAAAATAAACACAGTAGGAAACTACATAGTCTTTTACATTCATGATATATGAAGAATTTGCATCCAGATCATGTCTAGTACTACCATTGAATCAAATATCTCTAAGCTTAG